ACAGCAGGAGCCCCGCCTGGAGCTGCCCCGGCGGGGTCACGGGAACCGCCCGGGACGTCCTCCGAGCGGGCGTGAGCTCCCAACCTTCTCACTTAAAAAATATATATATTTTTGACTTTATAGAGCAAAGGAGAGGGAGAGAGAGAGAAACCTCCATGAGCCCGAGACTTAGGTCGGCTGCCTCCTGCACGCCCCCTGCTGGGGATCGAGCCGGCGACCACTTGGTTCAGGGGTTGATGCTCAACCATTGAGCCACCCGAGCCGGGCAGCAGTGTTGTGTTTCTTCGGGACGCGCCTTGTTGTACATGATGCTTTGTTAACCACAATCCTAGGGGGTGTCCCTCCGGCAGGAACAAAGGGCGAGCCCGTGGCTCACTGAGGCTCCTGGATGGGGGTCTGGGGTGGGGACAGGGCGCGGATTGGGCCCTGAAACAATAAACAACATGTTTTGAAGCCGCTTGGAAATCACACACACACACACAGCACATCGGACCCGCGGCCCAACGGCGGCCTCGGGACCTGGTGAGGCCGGAGACCCCTCCTTCGTGGATTCCACACTCACCTCCAAGCGGGATCGCCACTCAGCTGTTCCTGCCGCCAGCATTTACGGAGGGAGAGCCGCCACCGAGGGACGGGGCCTCTGGGCGGTAACCCCCACCCCCCAACAGACGGCCTGGGAGACGGACACGCGTGGAAGGCGGACACACACCGCGTGGCCTGTGACGGCAGGAGCCCACATTCAACTTGAAGGATAATGAAGTGGCATCCTCTCCCTGTGGGAGCTTCTGCAGTTGTTCTTGTATAACTCCTCCACCATCAACTGGAGGTGCTTTCCATCTCCCTGGCCCTGAGGGGGAAGGAAGGAAGAAGGGGGCAGAGGTAGCATCCATTCTTTTCCTGGGTGGTGAGGGCACAGAGGATCTCTCTCATTCTCACTCTCAAGTTGGACAGTTGAGCCGAGCCGGGCAGCAGTGTTGTGTTTCTTAGGGACGCGCCTTGTTGTACATGATGCTGTGTTAACCACAATCCTAGGGGGTGTCCCTCCGGCAGGAACAAAGGGCGAGCCCGTGGCTCACTGAGGCTCCTGGATGGGGGTCTGGGGTGGGGACAGGGGCGCTGGGAGAATGGGGAACAATGCCACCCTCGCCCCCAGGGGCAGAGCCGGGAGGGCATTTCCTGGTCTCAGCGGGGAGTTTTCCTCTCCGAGGCCTCCTGCCACCGGGAGGCAGCCACACCCACGTGGAAAAACACCCCCAAACATTCCCTTAGCAGCAGCACCTGGGACCCCCCCAAACTCGGCCTTTGTGTCTAAGCCATGTTTATGCCTCCTTGCTGTTGGGGGGGAGTAGGGGGAGGGGTCCAGGCTCTGAGCGGAAGGGCCGCGCATAAATGTGAACATTTTTAATCACCGCACAGAACCCGCTGATTTCAGGCTAAAATTATAAATTCCTAGAGACGGTGTGAAGTCTGTCAGATTCCAGGGCAGCCGCTGCGACAAGCGGGAGCTCTCCACGTGCGGCGGCTGCCATGGCA